TTTTCAATGCAAACTGACTAATTTAAAATTATTTGTATCACAAACTTATCACAGTCCTACAGAACCTGTTTATCAGTATTGACTTTACAAGATACAAGTTAATTACTATCACTATAATAATAATGTACTACATGTAGGTATTAGGTGTGTCATGTTTTGATAATCTTTCTTATAATAAATGGAAAATAAAATAATAACAGTAATATAAATAAATTATGTTGTATAAACACGTTATTGTTTCCGTTCAGAATCGTTTTCCGTTTGAAATGATTCATCATTAAATTTAAATTTAAATATTATTTATAATAGTGATGATGATGAACAATCAAAACCTATATAGTAAAGTGACTTTTCAAATATTTTTATTTTAAAATTAATACATGTGTTTATACTTTTATAAAAATAAACATACGCACAAATCGTGATTTTAGTTAATTTAATAATCATACATTTCAAAAGTGGGACAAATAAAATATGTCATCATATTCGTTTTTAAATTATTATAATGTTTACATTTTAACTGTCAAACTATAATTGTTGTTAAGCTATAAAAATAAATAATAAACCTACTATTACTCAAATATTAGTTAATAATGTTTTATTATTTTAACATTTATGTAATAGGTTAGTAATACATTTTTTGTTATGGATAATATTCTCGGTTATAATTTTTGACATAATCTATTTTAGTATTTACTGTCTCATAATTATATAATATATTTTGTAATCATTATTCATTTATCATACTATTCATACTTGTATTATATTCATGTTTAATAAATCGTGTTATTATATTTAATAAATATTCTAATATTTTTAACAATAAAAAACAAAGGTTTAGGCATTCGTATTACCTTAATAGAGAGTAGTGGTGTAGTATTGAGTAAATTTAAATGAAATAATAATTAATTAAATTAGATTTAAGTTCAAATAAACTATTCTGAATAAATGCAAATAATGTTTAAAGAATTGTGTAATAATTTTAAGTTACTTAAAAACAAGGGTAATTAATAATTTATGATTTAGTTATAAGGTGCGTATATTAAATAATAGTAATGCACAATTCATGCAATATGTATATATATATATATATATATATATGAGTAACTCTGCATGTATAATAATGTATTAATGTCTGAATAACTAAAATTTCGAATTTTATTTAAAAAATAACATCGATGTATAATCTTAGGTATAAACAATGAGCTTTTAATTCTGATAAAATAATTTAAAGTTTCAAGTATTTTTATTTTTATTTTTATTGTTAATTGTATTTTAGTTTATACAATTTCTTTCATTTCTGAATAATAAAGTTATATAAAAATGTCATTGGCTTTTATAATTTTCAGTTAATATCATCAGATATTTCATTTAAAAGTTGTACTTAAATTAAATAACGGATAAGTTATTAATTATGATTTAATTTAATGTTGTTTTTTAACACGTGTTAAAACAGTTAAAATAGTAAAGGTTTCGTTGGTTTGGTTTTTAAAGCATAACTTCATTAAAATAACCGAAATTAACATAAAATATCTAATTTATCCACAAGTATATTGTTTTTTACTTTTTAGATGTTGTTAAATTTTACTATAAATATATAAATATTAAAACATAATGTGAAATAAACTAATATTTAAACTCAGGAGCTTAGTTAATTAAAATTAAAGTTATTATTCCATAGTAAATTTAATATTTATGTGAGTTTGATAAGCATATAAATATTATGTTTATATAACTAAAATCTACATATTTAAAAATTTCAGTTAAATTGTTATATGCTTATTTCATTGCTAATAAAAAAAAAAAGGAATAATTATTAATACCAATGATATTATATATATATATATATATATATCAATTTTACTGTGTTGGTAATCAAATAAAAACTAAAAACAATCAAGTACCTAATAAGTATTTCAATTATATACCATTTATAAATATATCTATATACATTGATGAGTTTTTAAATCAACAATTCTAATTGATATGACTTTTTGTTGAGAATTATTTGAAACATATTATAAAAATATATATTTTATAATTTAATTTTTGAAAATAATTATATTTCAAATACTATAATAATTAATTTTAAACTATGATAAAACCATAATTAAAATAGGTTAATTTTGAATCAATTTATTAATTATATGTATCTTACAACTTATAAGTTATAATGTTATTAATGAACAGGTAAGACATTTGTTACTGGATTTTTACACCATTTGTGTTCAATTATAATATTTATTATTTAATTAGAAAATTAAAGTTTTTGAATACCTATATTAACTTAGTACATTATATATTTATTTAAATTTTTGACCTACGATTTTTAATTTTACTTTTTAATTTATAACTTGTCAAATTAAAAAAAAAAAGAAAAAAATATTTAAGTAATAAGTACGTGTAAATAGTCATGTGCACAGAAAAATTCACTTACCTTTATTTTTATATCCATGTGTAATTTAATATTTTATTCACGATGAATCTATACTCTATAGATTTGTATACATTATTAAAAAACTATATTAATAACAATAACAATAATAATAATAATAATAATAATAATAATAAAATAGTTTTTAGTATAAAAAAAAAGTTAAAGTACAAAGCTGCGTGAAAATTATGTCGGGTATTGTACACAACACGTTCAAAACACATTGAATGATACCGATTTAGTGTGAGCCGTAATAGCGACAAACCTAGTGAAACGCTGGCAAGGTCGTGTGGTGTGCGTTCCTTCTACATGAACCGATCACTATTTTGTGTTAGCTACACAATACAGTTGCACATTACATCCTCCAACATAACAACTGATTTGTTATACGGATGACAATAGTAAAGGTTGCTGTCAATATAATGTTTAATATTTATATATTGGAATTGATAACTTTAAAATTAGGTTACTCGAATAGATTTTCATTTATTGAAATATTATTGAGTGATTATTACTTAATTATAAAAAATGTATGTTTAAATTAATTCATAGTTAAGTATTTACGTCCTATAGCATAGATAATATAATGCTTAGTAGTTGCTACCTATAATCTATATAATGTAATATAAATTATGCCCAGGGCACGGTTTTATAACTCCCAAATTATGCACTTTGATCGTAATACAATAAATTATAATAATGTTATAGTTAATACAAATTAATTTGATCAATTCAAAACATACAGATATGTTAAAGTTAATAAAAAATAATTCAAATAACCAATATAATTTACCATTCAAAAATATTTATCAAAATTTTTGTATATATATTAATTTGATTTTTATAATTGTATTGTAACCATTTGTCATTTACCAATGCGGTGGTATTAGATTAAATGAATAATTCATGTTTATCTAGTGGGAAAACGACGTTTACTTGTAATAATTTTTTTATTACGTAAACTAGACAATTTATATGAAATTAAATAAATAAAAATTGATTTATTGATATTTTTATGTTTTAAAATTTAATCTACATAATTTAATATTATTTTTTATAAATAAAAGCAATAAAACAAGTAAAATTATTAACTGTATACAGTGTTGTCGTATGTACAAAAAAATATTGAGTGAAGCAATGAATATTTTGGTTTATACATATGTTTTTTTCTATAGACTGTGAATCCTATTTAAAGTAGAACCATCAAAACTCTTATCTGGTAAGGTGGTAATTTTTTTTTTAGATATAAATGTAAAATTATATTAAAGAAATTACAGAAAATGTTATGGTAGTAAACTTTATAAACTTGTAATCGAGCTTTTTCAAAATCTATTTTCAATTAAGTTGCTCTGCGATGGATTTTAAATTTAATATCAAAATACACCAATACGCTGTGCTAATACATACTTGAATAAGTTGAGTGAAGCGACGCAAGTAAGTGCAAACCCGAACCCTACATTCTATCTCTTTCGTTTTTAATTGAAATAGATTAACAACTAGCTCTCTGAATTGAACTGTAGTTAATTAATGTCTCTGGTAAAATATCTTAAATCTTGAACAAGAAATTAAGGCAAAGGTTTATAAATATAAATAATAATTTTTGTAAATTTTCTTTAATCTTTTAAATATAATACATTTATTTCGAATATTTTAAAATAGGCTGCAAGTTTGTAACAGTTGTTAACAATTAAAAATAACTGCCAATATTACTTTACTCTACTGCAATAATCATAATAATGAATTAAAAATGGTGATCTAAAACATAAATACCCATAACATCAATGTCACGAAATACCAATCAAATTAACCACCAAGCGTAACACTATATGTAAGTATACTAAATTATGTCATTCTATTAAAACAAAAATTTAACATAGACAGTTTGAAGGACACGACCATGGATTTATTTAAAACATAAAATACATAATACTGTAATTTACAATACAAAATAATGAGTTAAGCTAATGTTTAGTTTGAATTTAATTTAATTAGGTACATATAACGTATATTTTTATTTACTATAATCGGTTATTCAAGCGTATATTAATTAACTTATACTGAATTGCTTTTATAGATTAATATGTATTGTGAATTATAATTTTTAATACCTTTAATCTAATTTAATGTGAAAAATTATTTAAAAATGAGGGAATAATGCTTTGACAAATTTTTATGAGTACACTTATATTAGATTTGAACTATAATTAAATGTATTGATTTCTTGAACCTATAGTCATCGTCATAATGCTATTAATTTTCACTAAATAACATTTTTAACTTTCATAAAGTTAGTTAATTTTAAGTTTAAAATATATTTATTATATTATACAATCTAAAATATTTGTTTAAGAAGTCCTTAAAATTATTGTTTGGTGTATTATGTATTACGCCGTAGTTACATTATTTATGATACATATTATTAGTACGTAGTTTTAAAATCAGAAAAAAAATACATTTATAGAGTTCATAGTTTTTGCGATAGATGTCGCATTCAGTCAACCTCCAACCCCCATTTCGTTTCGTTTTCAACCCCTCATACATGCTTATGTTTGAGTGGCGTTTTCAAGGAAAACACTAGTTTCCGCGTCCGTGTTCTCGCACTCAGACGTATATTATATGCATTTATCTTGTGTCTATATAACGTTCAATTTGTGTCATAAATTAAATTAACCAATAATCTTCTAAAAAAATGTACGTTATTTAAATATGAAGAAGTTTTTTGTAAGTATTTTTTTTTTTTTTAATTAAGATATCTTTTAATTATAAAAAAGTGATTATAGATAATAGATGTTATATTGGGTGTTGTTTATAATATTTAACTATTTGGATGTTCAGTTACATTATTTCATCAACATAAACATAAATTCTTAATTATGAAATAAATTTACATGAACAATATAATACATACTGGTAAATTTTGAGATAGAAAATGAGAACATTTATTTTCGTTAAATATGTATATGTGTGAACAATTTATTCTAAGCCTTTAGAAGAATATAATATAATAAATTTAAAATAAATCATAGTTTATATCGAAATATTAAATATTTTAATTTTTAATGTATTAAAATTTATATTTTATATAATTATATGCTTATCCAATATAATGAAGGTTTCGTTTATTTGGTATTTTTAATTAAATTGTGACATATTAAGTGTTAAAAATTGGGATGTTATAAAAGTTGCTGGGATGTAAGTATAAAGTTTATTTTGGTTTAAATTTTCTAGAGGTTTCACGAATTTGATTAAAAGATATAATATTTATTTATTGTGTGCTGAAAAGAGTTTTGAAAAAATTTTGTAATAGTAATATGCAAGAAGAAACGACATTGTTCATAACAATCATAACGAGCTTTTTTCCACACTATCACAGTCCCTAGGATTGGTAGGATCCCGCAAATGACGTGATATCGCTTGAGTAGCGGAAAGCTATCATTTTAAGATTTCGTTTATTTGAATATTATGTTAATGATAGTATGTTTGGCTAATCGAATAATACAAAATAAATTTCATAGTAAACATGTTCGTAAAACATTAGATGTACTCATTTATTCTATAAGTATCAATATTTAAACCATTGAAAGATATTTTTTAAATTTATCAATCATATTTCATCGAAAAAAAAAACATATACACAATATAGAAGTATTATAAATATTGTATTTATCAAATAAGAAAATCTAAAAAAAGATAAAATAAATAATAATAAATTCGTATGTCATGTAAATTGTGTATAATTTTAATAAATAAAAATGTTTAAATTACTTGTACTTTAATTTTTATGTTATATGAAATAAATATAAAGTTAACAAGTAAAAACCTTATTTAATATAAATATATGGCTATAATTGTTTATTTAATACAAACAATTTATTATTATATTATAATTTATAAGTATCTATTTGGTTTGAAAAAAAGAGAAATATTTGAATATATTATTATTTAATATTATTGTAGCGGTGTATAAATAATTATTATATATTTAAAAACTCATAAGTAATATAGGCAATTATTAAAAAGGTTGTAACATCTATATTTTTTGATAAGCAATAATTCATAGAAATATCTAGTAAGGGAGCTTTTATTATTTTGGCAAAATTAGGCATTTTAAAACTATTTTGTAGTAAAAATGTATGCAATTTTAAATTGTAATACTTAATATCTAAAGCTATGAAATATAATATATAAGGCTCTTCGCATGTTGTTCTTCCAGCAATGTAAAAATATTGTAAATTAATAAGATATTCATGTTAATATATTTGTATACAAATGTAGGCTAATGACTTTAGTTGTAAAGCTTTAAAATTGATATTAATAAATAAATTAAAAAAATATATAAGAACAATTTTTTGTTATAGATATAATAGATATATTTAGTACCTAATTTAAATGTTGATAAAATTGGATTTTTAAACAAAAATACCAATTTAAGTTATTTTGTTGTAATTTAAGAAATATTAACTTTAGATACTTAAAACTTTTCATAACTACGTATATCATGATTTTTTATAGACCAATTATTTGAACCAATTTTAAACTATTTATTCCCCTAATTTATTTATACTATTTTATGAATATTGATTTATTAATTAATAATATTAACATATTATGGTATGGCTAGGTGATACAAAACTATTAATTATTATTTATGAAATAATATTCGATGTTTTAGAAACTAACTTTATAAGTTATTTAATAATAGAAAAAATTAATTATTAATATTAATAAGTCATAAAATATCCCTTAGAATAGAGGTTGAAAACTGACATTTATCAATACGTTTTTTATATTATTTATTGGATCTTTATATTTTGCATTTTTAATTTTCTAGTTATTTCATTGTGAGTATTATATGTTATTTAGTATTACACTATACAAGTGCAAAATTTTAAAACATAAATAGGTGGTAATCAATAAAATTAAAATAAAACTTGTAAGGATAATTTAACAATATATTTTTAAAACCTAGATTAGTTTAATCAAACTAACCTAGTCAAACCTATTGGTACATACAGATGGAATAAAGTATAGTAGTATGACGGATTTATAAATTATACGATATATCTATTAAGTATAAAATATTAACTGAATTAAAATAAGAAAGTTAAATATAAAATAATACTAAATTTTACCCATACTAGTAATGGTAATTTTTATACTAAAATAAATTCTATTTAGGTATAACGAATAGATTATAACGATACTTTACTTTTTTTTTACGTTTTTTTATATTTATTATAATTCATGTACGTTTAGGGACACATAACCATATAGGTACCCATTTTCAGGGCCAACGTTCTAAAAAAATAATATTCTTATTTTTATTAGAATTATTAATATTTTTTTACAAAAAATTCAAGGATATCGTATTAGCTGTAGCGATTACCACATATTAAATAAAGTTTTTTTTTTTACATTAAAATATTTTTAATAATAGGTAATTTGCAGAAACTTTCCACAGGTTAGGAATAATTGAATTTTTTACGTAAAATCAGATTTTGATAAACTCGATTTAGTTTTTATGTTAAAAATGAATAACTGTAGGAACTTGAAAATGTAACATAAGATTCCACATAAGTTTTTCTTATTGTAGTCTAAAAACATTAAAAATACATAGTTATGATTTTTTTTTTATTTATAAGTGTTTGAAGTTAAAACTTTGACAAACATTGTTAAAAGACGAAAACATTTTGAAATTATTTTGCAGTTAAAAGTTTGCAAATGTATTGCAAGATTTTTCGTAAGCTATTTTTATTGCCATTAAAAAATTTCATCAATAAATTAATATATTGACAAAATTGAATATTTAAATTGAGATTGACAATTTTGATTATTTTGTTGTAATTCATAAATATTCTTGAGGAATCGGAATATTATATTACTGTACGTTGCGACGTTTACAAAATATTTAGATCAATACTAAGCTATTGATCATATTTTATAAAGAATGTTTGTCCTCGTTCAGAATCATTTTTTTACATAGTGACTTATCAATGAATTAAAATTTAACACATCTATTACAGTAACCTATACAATTACAAAGTACACTCAATTTCCACTGTATAGCAAAGCAGTTACCTACTTTATCCCTTTTTTACCTGACAATTTTTTTTTTTTAAATTAAATAATTAATAACTGCCAATTATATTAATAATGATAATAACTAAGTGCTAATAATTATAAATTCAATTCATCGCCATTTAAAATTATTTTATTAGAGTGTTTATAATAATTAATTATTATTATGAGTTCTTTTATATTCTATAAAGATACTAAATTGAACTTCTTTTTTTACTAAATATGAGATTAATTTTACAAGCTTTCTAGGATGAGTATAAATGTTTGGTATATTACACTCTCAATTTAGTAGCACATATCATTTTTTTTTTTAAATGGCTAAATCGTGTGCAACGGATTTGTTGGCCACCTGGGGCAGTATTGATTTGGTGTTTTTTATGGTAGGTTTTGAGTGTTAGGAATATTTTTTCTTCTACGTTTATTTTACTAGTTTTTTTTGTTATTATTATTTGTTGCCAAAACTTCCAAAAAACTTTTATTCCAATACCACGGCGGCAAAGGTGTCGCGTGCCAGCGGTATTTTTGGATGTTTACCAAAAGTCATGTGTATCGATCTGTTAGGCATTTTTCACCTTCCCCAATCCTAGACGATGGTTAAGACGGAAAATATATAAAAACATGAGAGAATTGAACGAGTTAAAGTTCTAATAAACACGACTTTTTGGCAAACAGTCAAGACGTGCTTAGAATTACACCGATGTCATCCACCAACCAAAATTTATCCTATCAACCTAGTGAAGAAAGAAATTATGTTCTGACACTTTAGAAACATTGAATTTATTGTAGCAAGTATTTATTAAATTTCATTATTTTTAAGTTCAAATTCATATTATGGTCAAAACTAATTTATTGGTAGTTAAAACTTGATATAATGAAACATTTTATAATGTTAAGTTTGTCATTTCAAGTGTTCTGGACATAGATAACAGATAGGTTAACCTCAATATTATTAGGTTTAATTACTTTTTATTAGTTTCTGAGTAAAGTGAGGAATATATTAAATTTAATTATATTTAATAGGCTGTCTTTAGTTTTAGAGCAAAGTAATGAATGCATTTTAAATTATAATTGCTTGTTTAAAAATAAATTTGTAGTGTTAAAATTTAATTTTTAATTTATCTAATATTTTATTTTGTATTTTTATTTATTTACAAAATAAAATTCTATCATCTTTTAATCAAAAAGTTCTATTAGGTATTTCTTTTTTTTTTTGAATTAACAGAAGTTATGTTTAAAAAAAGTCATACTATTTTTTTTTTTCAATTTGAAATGTTTTGTAGTATCTCGTTGGTATTTTAATTTTACATTTTCGTTTTTTATCATAAGTTTTTTGAAGTACAAATAAACATTTCAGAAGTTTCGAAAAAAATTAAAAAAATTAAACTATTCAAGCGGTTGTAATTTTAACTGAGCTCTGATCCGAATTATTTTTGCATGAATTTTGCTTTTAAATTAACAATAATAGTTAATAATACACAAAAATTCTGTATTTCCAAAAATAAGTTAGTGAACCAAAATAAGTGTCTAACACATAATTTCTCGACTATCTTTTATATTTTAATAAGATGTTAATATTATTTATTTTGTATCGATTTATTCGCAAAACTTCATACATTTTTAAAAATAGACTGTTGAGCAGAGGT